CTCTCTAAGGGCTTATGTTATTTGGCACCCTGTTTTGTTTCCTTGACAGTAGATGGATCAACCGAAGGACGAGTCTCAGGTGTCTCAGGTCCAGTAGTACAGTAACAATCAATGTTTCCCTTTATTTCTTAAAGACACGGCATTCATCTGCTGTTGTTAGTTCCTTTTAGGCCTAATGCTGCTTCTTTTGTCCTCTACAACGCACAGCATGCTGAGATATGCCAAGTTGTCAGCTAACAGCTCTTTGACAGTCACCTAGTATAGGTACTTGGTATTTGCGAAATACCTAGTATAGCATTTTATGCCAGTTTGACAGGCATAAAGAACTATTTAATTCCTGCCAAACTGGGTAGTCTTTGCCATTTTTCACAGGTTCAACTAAAGAAATAGGAGCATATTGTGTGGTTATGTGACAAGCTGCTGGTGACAATGTGCCTAAAATTTCTTTTCCTACATTCCCTGGGTCAACGCTTAACTTTGGTGCCTTTAGTCAGCTTGAATGAGTCACGGGTCAGTGTTTAGTAGCTTAAATAACAAAAATCCCCTGAAAACATTCAGGTACTGGACTGAAACTCTTTGAAAATCAACTATAAAAGGAAGTACAACAACAGTAACTTTATATAAGGTTGAGTGTTTAAAAGTGTTTTTATGTTCATTTACATGATGCAAAAAAAGGATATGCACACATGTAATTTTAGCATACTGCCACTTTGTGTAATGGTTTAATTACTTGAGTTGGGAATGTGGGTGCAAGCACAAGCAGTGACACTATGTTGTTTATTGTGATAATGTTGACACTCTTCATTGTGCTAACATTAAAAATAAAAGCATTGCTTGATGATGTGTTGTAGTGCTCTCACCAAGATTACTAAACTATTTATTGACAGGTATTGCGTAACGGCCACATGATATTCTTTCCATTTAGTAAAAAAGGCCAACTATTGCAATCTCAGGGAAAGTGTGCAGGTAGAATGAAATGTATATCATTTATGATAAGATAGTTATTTTTCTGATGCAACACAAAGTAGAAGGAAAATACTCAGTATAAAACTGAATAATTGCTAGAAAAACACAATTATTTCCAGAGACATTAAAATAACACCCAGAAACAAATAGCCTTACATGTTTAGTAATGTAACATATATGCAATGAGCATTTAGTTATAATGAGTACAAAACTTACACCAAAGTGACAGTTGACATTTACAGAAATACATCCCTTTGCTGAGGAGAAAATGAAGAACTATAAAATGAGGAGAGACGCAAAGGGAAGACAAAGTGAGAAAGAAACGGACAGAGATATAAGCTGAGAGGAAAAATTCGGGGGATGTGCGAGCTTGGCAAGGTAGGGGGGAGGGAGGAGGATGAAGTGGAGGAGAGCAAAATGACATACTCAGAAGCAGTGAGGCAAAAGTCTCATGTGATCTAGAGTAGATTTAGAAGGCGAAGTGCTGTGGGGGAGATAAGCAGCACGGGAAACTGCTCAGATCACAGGTTTGTAACATAGGGCCAGAGATGTAGCCTCAGTACAAGAAGGAGGATTCACATAGTGGGTCCATGTTAGATAGCAGCTTAGCCCTCCTCTCTAGTCACACACACACAGAGAGAAAAAATATATTCAGTAAATATTCAGTTGCTTCCCATGTGCCCAGTGCTAAAGACTTCCCTAAAGGGTTGTGTGCATGAGTTCCATTTAAAGGAGCCATTCACTCTGATTTAATGATAGAGCTCCAGAAAAATCTTTATCACCCAAAAAACCTGAGCAAAATCATTGTCTGCTCATTCACATATAATTAATCTCTTCACAATCTTTCACATAAAAACACACTGGAAAAGCATTAAATGAATAGAGAATTAGTTCAAGCATATAATATATTTAAACAGTGTCAAATACTTGTCATCCTGTTGCCTTGAAAAGCTAAAGCATAGTAATTACATCATTCCACTTGCTGAACCAACAAGTCAGCAAGGAACTGATGTCTGACAGTTCAGAAGGCAAAAAGAAGAGAAAATCTGCTGTGTGTGATTGAGAAGAGAAAGTGAAGACGGGAAGGGAAAAAGATCAAGTTTAATATACAATCTCAGTTCCAATAACTTTGAGATTCTGTGTAGAATGTCAAAATCTTATAAAATACATATTTTAAAAATAGCCAATTGAAGCATTTTACTATTTTATGAAAAATATTGACTCATTTTTAAATTGATGGCAAGCAATATTTCTCAAAAAGGGGCAAAGAAAGCCTGAAAAAGTCAGTTGTACTAAGGAAAACAGGTGGAGGAACATTTTTGAACCAAACAGGTTAATTAGCACAAGATCAGTAACATGACTGGGTAGAAAAAGAACATCCTAAAGAGGCAGAGGTTCATCATCTGCAAAGAACTTCATACACAAATTGTGGAGAATAATGTTTCTCAACATGACATTGTGAAAACTAGAATATCTCATCATCTACAGGGCATAATATGATCCTTTAAAATGAAAACAAATCATTGAAAACGTACAATTTTGCCACAGAAATCACTGCATGGGATCAGGAAAACTTCCACAAATTATTATTTGTGAACTCCATTTATCGTGCTATTCCCAGTTACAGGTTAAAGCTCTCCCATGAAAAGAAGAAGCCATGTGTAAACATGGTCCAGAAACATCATCCTCTCTGGGCCAGAGCTCATTTAACAGGGAGTGAGGCAAAATGGAAACTGGTCTCTGGTCAAACATATCACAATCTGAACTTTTTTTTTTCTTTTTTTTTTTTTTTAGAAAACACTGATGCCGAAGGAACCATGTGGCTTGTTATTAGCTCTCAGATCAAAAGCCCACAACTCTGATTCTATGTGGATGGACCAGTGCTTATGGAATTGGCAGCTTGCACATCTGGAAAGGCATGATCAGTGCTGAAAGGTACACACAAGTTTTAGAGCAGCACATGCTCCCACTCAGCATCCAGCAAGACCTTCGGGGATAGTCTTACATATTTCAATAAGAAAACACTAAACTGCGTACTGCGTTGAGAAAATGGCTTCATAGTAGATATAGGTTTGAGTAAATATTGAGATAATACTTCTATCTACATTTCAGACAGACAAAAACAACAAGATGTTTATCTAAACTCTTCTGAAAAGCAAGTGGTAACATGCCGCTAAAGCAGCAACTACGGCATAAGCCATTTATTTTATCCAGCATTGACTGGGAGCTTCTCATTTCCCTCTGACAGATGGAGGGGACCAACCATAAAGCAGTAGAAAAAAAATCATTAAGTCAGCCAAAGCCCTGCAGAGTTGTTTTAATTGTGTGCTCTGGTGCTGTAGGCATAGCTCACCTGATTGCTGCTATAACTAACTGCCTTCACAGAGACAGACGAGATCTTCAGTGGACATTTAGAAAGTGATTTGTGTTCAGAAGGTTCCTTGGGGGGGAGAGGACAATGTGGAGAGACAGAGTGACTGGGAATGAGGAGACAGATCATTGCGAGTGAGCAGATTGGATACTCTCCACTGGAGAGAACCTTGTCCAGCAGGAGAGGCTCAAGCACCTGGCTAATGCTTTCACGGCTCATAATTTACAGCAGGCCTTCCACTGCGTTTGGTTAGCATTGTTAATGTGAAACCCTACAGAGGTCTATGCCTATGGTCGCGACCTTTGAGTGTGCTTCAGACATACCACTTATTCAAAGCATTAATCAATAGCCTTTCAACAGCTATGTTGCTGTGCCTGTGTATCAATCATTGAATAAAGCTGAGCAACGGAGGAACGTGAGCACACACACAAAGTGCTGGATTATAAACCATCAGGGAAGCATTTATTTGGTGTGCACACACTGAACTATATGAGGAATGCACATATACACACACTCTACCAGGTGCAAATTACCAAAGGTGAGATAGGCTGAAAGACGAAGCCAGGCACAAACAAAGAAATAAAGTGCTGCGTTGACAGGTTGGCGAGGACTTACTTTCCCCTGTCTTATGCATAAAGGCCTACCGAATTCTGTTGCAGAAGACAGTCTGTCAGCACTCCCAATCTAACTGACATAGAAGCTAGTAAATCAATCCACTTAAAACAAGCTTTACTTTAAGCGCCTAATGACCGCAATGTGCCAGGTAACTATGCCATCAGACCTTAATGCGTCACAGTCTGAATGCTGCAGAACTTTACCTACAGCAGCAAAATAAATAAATAAAATAAAAAATAGAAAACAACCGTTAACACTAGTTTGCCCTTATCAAAGAATATTTTTCTCAGCAGTGTCAGCTGGCAGGTTAATAATCCATGTTTATTTTGAATTATAGTTTAATTCTAATTACATTTATATAATTCAATTATGTATGACTTCTTGGCCTCCTTCTGAGTCAGAGTATTATCAGCCCACCCAACCTTGTAGATGAGCATGTCTATAGAGGGTATATTGTATGCAAATCCACTAGGCATCTTAGGCCACCGTGGATTATGTCTTCTCATCTTGCATCTTCCTCTGCAAGTGGTTAATCTTGTCAAAAGAGACTCTTAATAAACTCAGAGGAAAGCCCTGTTTCTTCCACAGACAGACACAAATGTGATTTACAGCAGCGATGATATGCAGCATCTACCCTGCAGCTCTAATATATATTTATACATAAAACTCAGTGATCAGTCAAGCACAGAGAAGAGCATCATGGAGCTGGGAGACGCCGTATTAGTAATGATACCTCTTTGCAGAATGTTCATGACATGAGAACAATAACGCAAAGAAAGCCATCATTAACACAGTTATAAATGTTCATGAAATTGTGACCTCAAACCCTTTGTGCATATCACCAACTGCTTAAATATTGATCAGAATATTGGGGAAGATGAATGTGATGTGACCACAGACACAAATGTGTCTTCTGGTGTTCTTGTCCACTTTCTCCAGCGTTTTACACCTATTGCCCCTGTCTGGCACTACAGCCTAAACTGCTCTTTGGTGTGTGAAGTTACAGGTTGGAGGCAGCTACATCAACAGCCGTGTCAAGGAGACTTACGTGTACTCTTCCTGGGTGAAGATTGGGATGCGAGAAGGCTGAAGGACTGTGATCTCCACCAAAGTGCTGTTAGACTTCACTGGCTCCCCATTGTCATAGGCTATCACAAAGAGCTGCAGTGGAGCAAGAGAAAACATGTGAACAAATGACACATGCAAATGCAGGCACTAAATTAATACATTTTTTTAGCCTCAACATCTGCTCTCTGCACAAATAATTCCTTTTTTGGGGATTGCCAGTCATTTTTGCAAACATGTTCGGCATCCTAATAAAGACACAACGGCAAATCTGCTGTGGCGAGCAGGCTGCAAAGCTCCCAGAGAGTGAGAATGAATGTATTGATCTACATTCATAGACTGTGGAGAAAGGAGCTCGGGAAAGGGGGGGAAGGGAGGGTGGGGCTGAAAGAGAATGAACATAAAAATGTTTTTTCTTTTTTTTCTTTTTTTTTTAAAAAAGTGTAAGTAAAAGAAAAAAAGACAGATTAGGGAACAATATCCTGCAGCGCATGCTCAAGTGTTCACACCCACAAGCCTATGTAAAGTCACTGGAAATTGTTAAAAATAGCTCTATGTAAAATGCCTGGGAGGGGATTTGTTTTATCTAGAAAACTCTATATTATTTGTCACAGAGACAAGTTAGTTAAAATCAAAATGTTATTTGATTTTAAAGTATCATTTTTATCAAAAAGTCTACACACATTTCTAACCCACTAAAATTTAGCGGAACTTGTATCACTTTAAAACAAGACAAACAGACAAAAGACAGCACTATGACTATGATGATTTTATCATTATACCATTATAATCAATTGTCAGTTCCACTGCTGCAATCACGTCATGATTACATGTTATATCACGTCATTACTAACTCTACGTGTCAAATTACTGTGAATTTTTTAAACCAATAAATATCTTTTTAAATTGATTTTATGGCTTTTTTATCAGCCAAATAAAGTGCTACTTTATTGAGTAGAGTATTAAAGCAGAATTACGTCAGTCATGAATTACAATCACTGACTATTTCCCCAGTTACATACTGTCCTGTAATAATCAGGCTTTCAGCACAGCCACTGTATCTTATATCATATTTCTCACAATCACTCAGCTGATAATCATAACTAAACACCGTTTACTGCCACTAGCACACCGGTTTTCTTATGTGCTATAAACTACTCAACCACAACATTTAAGGCACTGACAGGTAAGGTAAATAGCAGTGGTCATCCTGTTGAAATGAAACCTTGGGTCCAGGCATTCATACAGATGTCACAATAACACATACCACCCACCTAAACATAATTCAGCTTTAACTCCTTTAAAAACTTAAACAGCATATCTTTTTTTCTGCCTCATCTCTGCAACCATTAAGTGACACTGACACTTTAAGCAAAGGCACCTCATGACCACCTCTGCTGACATAATGGCTGTCACTCACGTTAAAGGTGACACTGGGCTCTTCATTGAGGTTGACCTTAGTGATAATTCTCCCTGTTTCTGCTTCCACATCAAAAATACTCCCACTGTATGGCGATCTGTTCAGATCCACTCTGTAGCGAACCAAACTGGCCGGAGTACCCTGGAGGAAGGAGAAAGAAGAGCACGAACAATATCAATGCAATAACAATCCAGTTATCTGGAGCCCACATTTTACATATTCAAATGAAAAGAAAAATGATGAAAACAGAGTACTTCAGGGTAATCTGATACAAAATGCAGTCAGGTCATAAAGGACTAGTAAAAGTACTTGCTTAGCAACACGACTCGTAAATGTTATATTTTGTTATTTTATTATGCAGAACTGCAGTGGCTTATGTTTAAAAAATTTGCTCCTGTCTCTATAATAAGAATTAAGAACTGAGAGCTTTTCCTTATAATTTGGTTCTCATCAGATACTCCTAAATAAAATCATTGTTATTCATTGGTTCAAATCTAGTAATCTAATTGGAAATAATATTAAGAAAAATTCATAAATTCATCTTTTTAGTCTCCAAGGTAACACACTTTGCATTCATTAATGCCAGCCTGGACTTTAATATGAACCTCTGATTAACATTAACCATGGTTGCTGATTACTAATCATCTCTATAGCTTATCTTATTCTAGTTCCCTGCCTGTGGACCTAAAATTGAGTCTGATTTTTAATAATCTTCTTGAAGCTTTCTTTCTTTGGCTGAACAGCTTTTGCTCCTCGGGGACTGAGTAAAACCTGGAACTAGAGAGAGGTAAAGCTTGTAGTAGCAGTGTATCTCTTGGGAGGCTTACTAACAAAAATGTGTCTCTTAGAGGTTACAAAACCATCTGAGTGAATTCACTAAGGGGATAAAAAAAAAAATCCAATCTCTAAAAGCTCTCCAGATTGTTTTCTGACATTTAATTGAAAAGATGTCAGACCAGGACCACCAATTACGGAAAAAAAATATCCCCCACTAACTTCAGTAGTAAGACCTCTGCAGTGATGGCAGCAGCTTTGCTCTGGTATTGCCAATATCTGTTTTTGTGCCCATAATTTCTCATTTGAAGTGTCTAATTTAATATCAAGACCATATTGTTATAAATAAACAGAAATGGAAAAAATAAGACCATAATGCAATAAAGAAATAAATAGAAATAAAAATAAAAACCCAGACAGCAAAACTATTAACTGGAAAAGAGTGCTTTTCTTTATATCCTCATATTGCTTGAGAAACTAGAAATTAAAAGCAATTGGTGCTCCACATAACTCAGGAGAGATGTATAAAAATATGTAAACTGTTGAGTGTTGTTACAGGAATATTTGTCCTTGTCTGCCGTGTCCACAGAAACGTTCAGCTGCACAACCACTTGGTCTTGTATGACATTCTACACATGGGATATGAATTTTTTATAGACACCGCCTGAGTGAACTCAGTGTTGTTAACATTGCAAACAGGCGCCCAAAATGTCATGCATGACAAGCAATGCTCAAATGCAGTAAGAGAGGGGGGGAAAAAAAAACAAAAATCACCCTCACTGTTTAACAAGTGAAGAAAATGCAATTAAAAATAAGATGTGTGGGTGTTTATTTCTAATTCTCTTCAACATAAAAATAGCAAATTCATTAAAACCGATCAATCTCAGAAGCCCTGAGAGGCACTGAACAATGCTTCAGAGACAGGCAACACAAAAGCAAGCCTTGATCTGAGAGTGTAATAAAGTCAACACGTCAATACGACTTATTTTGATAGTTTTGGGAAATTACAAATGACTCATTTGGCTTGTAAGTGACTAGAAGGTTACTGAGGAAATGGGAATCGCTAAAAGAAGAAAACCTCCTCTGCCGTGATCAACCCAATCACAGAAGAAAGAAAAAACAACAGACTCAAAAATAACAGACTCTTTAAATCTTCCCCTGAAGAATAAAAGGTTTATACTGGAACATTTGTCTCCATGGTGATCTCCTCTCTCGTTCAGGGTGATATTAACACTGACATTATGGGGTTGAGTGGTGTGAAGAAAATGCAGTTACTTTTTAAAACCCATTAGTATCAATTCTGCTAAGGTGCAGGTGGACAGGTATTATGCTAGCTTTACAACAAAGTACAAAATGTCCTCTACAAAAATAATAAAAAAAAGAAAAACTCATTCAGGAGAAATGCATTAAAACCTTCACAAAACACACTCATTGCTTACATGTGTCATATTGACATGACAATTCTGTTTCTTTATTATGCGGGCAGGCTTTTGCTAGCCTGCTTAACAGAGAGGGACATTTGTTGGCATGTTTAAAATCACTAGACTCTTTCCACCTAACAGGTGTGTCCATGACAGAAACTGGGTTAGTCAGCCCTTGTTGGTAAATCCAACACTTCTTTCCGCTAAAATATTTTCCCATGTCACTCCATGCCTTTGTGGGAAGATATGGATGATTTCCGAATTGTGTTTTAGTGCTGCTAGATCTTTGTCAGTTAGAATAGTCACCATGAAAGAAAAAACAAGACCTCATTTTACAAATGATGATACACAGGGTTTGGATTTTAGGAGTTCACTATCAACTAACTGATGGACAGGTGTACCTCCTGAGAGACAGAAACCCAGGATGTGGGAGTGTTTTCTCTGGAAGGAAAGGTAAGATGTGCACTAGTCTCTGTGACATTCTTGAGATGTTCAACCACCTGCAGCTGGCACTGACAGGAATCAGTATCTCTGTGTTTACATGCTGCAGAGAGAATGCAAGATTCTTCAGACCTGGTGAGATCCGACCAGCGGCTGTGCTATTAATAAGAAGCATCAAGTTTGCTTTCCGAAAAACATCCAGAGCTGGACACGACTAGCACATGGTGAGGAGGTCGCTAGGGAAATTCAGATTTCTATTTTTGACTCAGAAAATCAATAATCAAATTTGATCACTGAAGTAATTTGATAATGTTGCTTTAAATATAAAAATCACACATAAAAACCAAGAGGAATAAACCAGTGCAGTCGAGAACACTGCTGGGTGACCAAGTCCAATAAAATATGAAGATTTTCTCAGCTAAATAATACTAAGACAAGAATTCATAAAAACTGTACTATCTACACATTTCCAGTCTCCCCCGGTTGTCACAATTTCTTTTCTGCATGGAGTAATGTTCCTTGGATTTCAGACTATATTAAGACAGCTCCCAACAGATCCTGCTCAGATAGTGAGGCAAAGGAGTTTGAGGAAATCTGACACTCTGAGGCAAGTGAATGACTCATACAAATGGAGATGCACACCTTGCAGTTAGAGTTGGTTTGGAATAAACTTTCACACAGCACTGCAACTCTAATAAGAGCACTGAGGTCCTGAAAACATCTTTTAAATGCATCATGTGAAATGACATTTTGACAGAAACATGTAGGTCTAAAATCATCAATCAGAGCCCCCCACCCCCCTTTCATCTCTTTCTCCACTGTTGCATATCTTAATCATAACATGTGCACAGCATTTTTCAAATAGTACTCACTGGTGGGTCTTGGTCCTCAGCATAAACTGTGGTAATGACTGTTCCTTTCTCTGCATTAGGTGCCACCATGCCTTTATACAGGTCTTGCTTAAAAATGGGGGAGAAGTCATTCATGTCCTGAAATGAAACACAGATCAGTAATATATTAGTGCCATTGTTTACCTAAACATTGCAGTTCATATGTTAAAGCAAATCAGGTATCAGTAAAAAAAATTTTTTACTTCATGTATTAATAGAGTAAAGCAGAAGGGAGTAGAAAGGGTCAAATGAATTCAGCAATATTCTATCACCACTATGTTTTCTAATGCTGTTTGCATGGTGAATTAATAATATGGTAGATTTTGCAGTTGCTGCTCTACTTGACTTCAGTTAACACAACAGTAATTCAGAATGCCCCCTGGCAGAGCAAGTAAGTCCCCCAAAGAAACTCTAGTTTGTAGCCTTGTTAACATATGCATTTGGTGTTTTTTTCCTACGCTAGAAGACATATCATTAGCAAACAAACAGCCAAGTCCATGGCGCTTTTGCTTTTGCCTTAGAAGTGCTGAAACACAGATTAACTCAGTCAGGATTTCATACATAAGAAAGCTAAAGAGTCTTTTCAACTTACTTACTAGAGCCAGCAATACAGAGGAGAGGCTCATCTAACATTAGCAAAGTATTATTATGTATTTGATAACAGAGTAATATCTGCTCACTATGCAGACCTCTCAGCTCAGTCACTTAACTTAATACCTTCATTTAAGAACAGTAACGCCCAACAGTGCCCAATAGTGTGTATTACGCTATTCCTAATAGCAAACAGAATACATCCACGTGCAACATAAAGGCATGTGAAAATAGCACAGCAGCTGTCTGAAAATTTAATGTTTCATTAGTAATTAAACTAATACAATGGATAGGTTTTTTCTTGTTTTTCTCTGTGCCAGAATGTTTGATCTGAAGCGAAAATCTCATCCAAGTGTGTTCACTTCACAGATAAACAAACACAGTTTATGCTATACTCAGTCATTTCATTAGGAACACATATTCAACTGCTTTAAACTTTAAACCAGCCAGTCACATGGCAGCAGCCGCATTTAGGCATACAGACATGTTCAAGATGACCTGTTTAAGTCCAAAATGAGCATCAGAAGTGGGGAGATTATGGCATAGTTGGTTCTATCAGACAACACTTACTGCCACTAACTACATAACCATCTCTGGGGTTTATAGAGAAGGTTCAAAAGAGAGGAAAATCTCAAGTAAGCAGCAGTTCTTTGGGTGAAAAGGTTTGGTTGATGTGAAAGCTCAGAGCAAAGTGGCCAGACTACAGGTTTAAACTCAAATAACCACTTGTTACAACTAAGGTATGCAGAAAAGCATCTGTGATGGATTGTGGGCTTTTAATGCCGGGGTGGTACCTGATCTGGGCTTTTATAGTTTAAGAACAGGAGACCAAGGCTTCAATTCACACACGCTCACTGAAATTGGACAATTGAAGATTGGAAAAACAATGCTGCTTTGTTTTGATTTGAATGATAGGGTCATTTTCCCTGGATAACACAAGGATCGATTTGTCTTGCCTTGTGTCAACAATTCATTATACTGGTGGCGATGGGAATATGTTCTCAAAACCTCACTGTACCTATCTAGTGATGGTTGCTTCCAGCAGAAAAACAGACCATGAAACAAAGCTAAAATCATCTCAAACTGGTTTCTTTAACATGACAATTAGTTCACTCTAGACAAATGACCTCCTCAGTCACCAGATTTCAAAGCAAGAGCACACCTTTGAGATGCGATGATTTGATCCATCATCACGTCTCAAAGGTACACGAGCAGGAGATTCACATTATAGACGTGCAGCCTGTGAAATGTCATCATGTCATTCTGGACTAAACATCCCTGAGGAATGTTTTCAAAACTTTTTCAAAACTCTTGAAGAATTAAAGCAGTTTGGAAGGCAAATGAAAGTCCAGCCTCTAACTAATTAATGAAATAGCCAGTACCTTTATTAGATAACATTACAGGACCCGCTAACAGTGGATACAAAACATTTACTGTCACTAACAAATAATGAGAATAACAGATGATGGCAAAATTTAGTTTAATAACAATAATATTTAATCAGATCATTATGTAAATGTGTATGTGGATGCTTGAGCTTTCAGGCTAGTATCTGTGTTCCAACATTTACAAATTTTAAAAAAAGAAAACTATTTTATCAGCATTCAGTTAATAATTGCTCCCTAGAACACGTGAGAGTGTCATCATAACAGCACAGCTTTAATCACCTTCTCCTAGTTAACAATGCACAGCAAAGCTCTACCATGTTTGAGTCTGCAAAGAAAGAAAATCTTGTCAACTATGCAAACCTTGCTTTGCTGTGTGAAAATGAAAAACTCAGTAAGCCATTCACATATCTCTCAGGAATAGCTTAACTCTATTATAACTACTGGAGCCTGATGTTTCCTTCTCCTGAATTTTCTCTTTACTTTCCACTGTTTTGGCTGAGCCATGGGCAACAGTATGTGTTCTATAAGCTCAGTGGTGGAGGGCAGTCTCCCTTTGATCTATACACAGGTTTAGTGTTTCCTAGCAGAAAATCTATGATACAGCCCTTGCTTTGAACAACAAAGTCTGATCCTTGTGCTGCAAGTGTTCACAAGGAAGCCGTGTCTGCACATATGTATGTGCTACATGTACGTCTAGAGTACATGCAACACTTTTGCCACACACACATACAAACACGTGCATTTATGAAGTTAAAGACAAAAGGAAAAACTTTGGGAGACTCAAAACAGCAGCACAAGCAAAGCAGTTAATCCATCACAGCAAAGTATATGATAAAGGAGGCAATAACAAAACAATACAAGGGAAAAAAAAATCAAACATAGATTACTTCAAATAACTCTCCAGAGGTGTTACACGGGGAAGGAAGTAAAATCAGTGGAATCAACTCTATCTCCATCCCTAGTTCCCTGGAAGCCTGTATGAATCCATTAGACTCATTCCAACTCATATCCGCCATTTGAAATAGCAGTCGCTGCTTTGATATCAGTAGCTGTGCAATGTTTATCCTATCAAACACCATTCCTGGGTGACAGCAAAAAGAATGCAACAAAGCTTTTCCTTATCAGAGGACAAAGTCACTCTACAGGTTGGCAGACCATGTGGTGAGCCTGCTGGAATAAGCTTAGGCACTTGCTCTCATTCTGTGGAATATCAAAGGCCTAATTCTACAGCCTTGGAGACAGTCACTGTGGGTGGACAGAAATTATACACAGAGATAAATGTGAACACATTTTGAAGAATAACTCAGAGTTAAAACGCACGACCATTAACACACGCATACACACATGAACAGTATCACAATACAAGGTGTCTAATCCTTTCGTTGGGATTCAGCTGTTAATCTCTTGAAAGGCTGGGAAGGGAACACGAGCTCCTGAAAAACCTGACATAATTGCTGTCACAAAGCTAATGAGTCATTCAAGTCAGGGATAGCACTGTGTGCCAGACAGAAACACATATCCATCAATTCTTTTTTTTCCCTACCGGTGATGCTGAGAGGACGAGCAGGTCAGGAGGCCAAAACGTGGTTTACAAAGGGAATACAGTCAGCATTTGCAATAAATGGCATTAAATTGAATTTAACATCACAAAGCAGTGCAGGTACAATACTGTAATGTGTCTCTATTCTCCAATCCCCTTTTGAATTGTGGCTTGTGCAAGCTATTACTAATGTAAAACTATGCTAACAATTCACTACATATTCACTGCAAGTGCTGCGCATCCGGAGGGACAGTGCGGGTAGATGAAAGGAGAATAACACATAGGAGGGTTTGGTAGACAAGTTATCTGGAGGCTCCTACCGTGATGTGGACTGTGACAGAAGCTTGCCCAGGAGGCATGACCCCTCCTTGGTTGACAGCTTCTACCTGGAATGTGTAAGAAGCCCCCATGTTCATAGCTGCCAGGGACTCGAAGTCCAGGGTCTGCAGTACAGCTAACACCCCTGTTACAGGGTTCAGGGAAAACAGCTGCCTGGCTGATTCAGTCTTGATCCGATAAGTGACATTGGAGAAGAGATCTAAGTCTACCGCCTAGGAGGAGGAGAAGGAAAGGAAAGCATTAACACTGGAGAAAGTAAGGTGATGAAAGAGGAGAGAGGACAAGCCTAACATAATTTCAAAATCAGAACCTTTCATATAAGCTGGTAAGTATAGGCCATAGACAACGAATGGTGATGCCCCTTTTTTTACAGTGTAGGAGCTACTTGCATCAGTCATTAATCAGACACTGATTAAATCACTATGGAGAACTCATTGCATTAAATCACAAATTGCAAAGTAGAGCGATGGCTGCTTCAATAGGAGATATATTAGATGCAGCATAATGCAGGACATGTTTTTCAGGGATTCATCAGCCACTTACACAGTATTTCACTCATAAGCAAAAAGAAGACTTAAGAGATATTACATTTGTTAAGTAAGAGTAAACACAAAGTGCAGCTGAGGCTAACGGAAATCTTTGAGTATTAAGACCATGAATGTTTGTGACCTTGTTTCTCCCGTGCTTCCTGCTTTTCACAAAAACAACAAAATGCCAACACTGAGAGGAAGAGAAGAGTTGACATAAGGACACATTTTGCATTTGATGTTAAGGAAAAACACAACAACCACAACACAAAAAAACTTTTACACTTTATATTTATTATTTCTACCATAACCTTATGATATGTAGTCAACTAAAACTAATACAATTTAGATGCCATATATTATGACTAAAACTAAATCAGAATTTGCCATGAAATGAACTCTTGTTACTCTCATAGCATTGCTAACACCCTCAGAGCTGACAGAATTGAGAGTGCCAAGTGTGGTCTGCACTTAGACATTTTGTCTGCAATCCATCAAGCCATCGTATACAGCCATGCTCATCTTCACGAAAACACTAACACACACACTAAAGTAAGTTTAACTGTGGAAATACTCTGAGTAACAACATTTAAGATTATTGCTAAAGGGCCAATGTCTTGAAAATCTGAAAAACAAAAATTCCTTTATGAACACTTTCAAAGTCGATAGGTTGCATCCTCAGGGGAAGACAGACATATGCACTGAGGAACCCACATACATAGCTATCTGATACAATATAGTTTATCTTAGTCACTTTTTCTTTCTTTCTTTTTGTGTGAGATTAAAAAAAAAAACTAAGACAGACTCTGTTCTGTTCTATCTCACCTGTGCTATTTAGGTATTTTGCCAACCACCCTGGTGCGCTCAGAGTTAATGTGTCGTCTAGGAGATTAATGGTGTCACAGTGCCACTGTCACTCACACCCTTCGACCTCAGCCCCCACCTGCACTTCTTTCCCCCCTCCCCCTCAAGCTTTATCCCCGTCTGGGAGATGTCACTCACAATATCCCAGCAATTACTCGCCCCTCTGCTCGCGTTTGCTCCTCGTGCACCGGGTTTTTCGACACTACACTTCGGCGCAAACAAATGCACTGCTGTTTGACAGGGTTGAAGTGATGCCAAAGACAGACTCCACCAATTGAAAAAAATAAATAAAACGTTTTTCTCAATTTCTTTCACAACAAACAATAAACATTCTATTAACATTGGTTGTGAAGGATCGAAAAACAATTCTCTTCTGAAGCCGGTTTGACGATTTGAGGAAGTTTTCGGTTTTACTCTAAAAAAAAGCACAGAGAGCTGTCACCGCACTGCATAAAAGATTATATATGTTGCTGGCTGCATAATTGCCACTGTCTGGAAGCATTTGACACTTTAAACTGCTAAATTGCGAGCTCTTGAAGTTAAAAGATTCCAAAAGCTTTTTTAACACAAACACCTGTACCATGCATCAGGGGAAAGGAGACATTTGGTGAAAATCGCTTGGCCATCAAGTTCTTACACTTAGCTGCAGGACTACAGTTCCCACAGGGCTGTTCTCAGGCACATTCACCACATAAGTCTGCTGGGAGAACACCGGGCTGTTGTCATCGATATCCGTGACTTGGACTGAGACAGTGAAAGAGGTCCGTCGCGGGTCTACTGCCCCATCCGAGGCTTCAACCACCAAGTCATACTGACTTCTTGACTCCCGATCAAGTGGCACTCGTGTGTAGATGCTTCCATTAGCGCTTATTGTAAACAAGTCGGGATGATTCACGATCCGGTAGCGCACCTGGCCATTAGCGCCTGCATCTGGATCTGTGGCCTGGGAAAAAAAAAAAAATGATCAGAGGGCTCAGATATGGGAAGATTAATGCTTATCCTTGTTTATTCAGTGCAGAAATGCAGAGAATCATAATATCTAGGCGGCTCGCCCACATAAATTATATACTTGAATTAAGTCTTTTCTTTGACCTCAGCATGGGTTATTTGATCTCTGACACTTGCAGCCTTTGTTCTTGCTGATTTCAAACAATTAACATTAAACGCTGCAAAACCCAAAGCGAGTTACCACATTTTAATGGTGGAAGCAGTTAATATTATGCTAAATGAGCCATCAATGAAACGCGATCAATACAATTCTTTTCATTCCTGAAGCTGCTTTAGAAAAACCTGTGGGAAACAACGAGAAACCATTTACATATATCAATAGTGCAAGAGAGAAATATTCATCAAATACATCATGTGAAGAGCTGATTATATAACTGAGATGCAGAGGTTTTCCCTTTTTAAAAAAAAAAAAATTATTACAATAATTATCAGAGAACTAAAGACCCAAGGGAAAGCTACTGCGGTGCCATTATGATCATGCAGGGTTCAAATAAATACCACAGAGCCAATCATGGGTCATTACATATGCCCGTGTCTATAAAAGCAGCAGCTATATTTAAAAAAAACAAAAAACCCAACAAAGTAAAGTATCTGAAATATTTACAGTCTGTGGAAATTGAGGGAGGAAACAGATTTTTTCAGGGAACTGCAGAGTTGCATATGTACATTTAAAGTTACAGATGACAAAACATTACATTAAATTAGCATTTGGGATATTAATGGCTATGTATCTGTTTTCAAGACCCACTCCAACCTCAGCATTACATTATATGATCCAGATGATGAGTTTTCTTCACACTGAAGCAGTTTCTGTGGGGACACATTTGGACAGCATTTCTTAGTAATCTAACTTGCGAGTTTTAAAATGTGAGCTCGTGGGCAGGCTCTATATAGTGACTCTGAGAGCAATAGAAGATCCTGCAGGTACAGGTGGCTTCAACACAAAAACAGCTTGAGCAGGTGGGTTTTAAAGAACAGGCCCACGCAGACCTCTAATATAGTACAAGGAAAATGAGTCTAGTTTGTGCTCTGCTGGTGTGGGTCTAGTAGATTTTTTTTTTTTTTTTTTTGTTCTGGATTATTAATGTTGAAACCTTCTATTGCACTTATTTTTTTCTGTTCTCTGTTCTCTACAGTATTTTTACAAATAAATTCAAGCACTGATGTCTTCATCTCAACAAAATCTAAAGGCGTGTTTTGGAGGAGAGTAAAGAGCTGCATAGCATCTCTTTCAGATGTCTCGAACAATCAGACTTGCTTTATCAAGGAATCTGTGTGGTAAAAAATAAACTATGTTCAACAGCTTGTCCAATTAGCAACAATTTCTCATGATACCTCCATGATGTGTGCGACACAAGCGCTAATCTATCTGTCCTCCAGTCATTTGCGTGCTCAGATTATGACTCCCTGCTAAGAGCAAATAGAATGGGCTTATATGGTTAGGATTTGTAAGTCACAGAACAAACGGCTCTATTAGCACAACCGGCAAAGCTGTCAGTTGTGATAACCTGGTAAATCATCTGCAGTCTATATGAGTGTGTACAAAATAAGAACAGGTGGGAACCAGCTCCAATTACTATAACGATAATCCGAAATGCTTTAAGGCTAGCAATAAGCTACTTAATAGCATTATGCATTCCCACTGCAATCATCTCCACTGTTGGCAATTGCCTAAAGCTCTTTGTGGCTGGCTGGATTGTAACTTTCTTCCTACAGGTGAATTCAAAGTAGTACAAGAAAACCAAACCAATTTTATTGGTGGAAATCAGATTTGAATGTGAAATACTTCAGTTGAAACAAATAAGCCTTATGCCAGCAGTCAGCATCCCACCCTTCCCTCCTCTGTCACTTAGCACATTATGTGACAGTAAGCTGTGGGTTACTGATTTGATAGGAGAGCATTTGTTCCGCAAGACAGTTATAGACATGCACACAGTACAAGGCTCCTACAAAATCTCCACATCACAAGATGTTTTCTAGGTTTTCTGAAAGAAAGCTGCAAGTTACTAAACATTGGTTGGTGTGTCAGGATAGATGATGAAACATAGAGAAATGTTTAAGCGTTGTATGTCAAGTGACAATGCCCTGGATGGTAAGATTTTTTTTGCCCTCCTTTTCCATTTTCTTTGCCAAGATGTCATGTGTCATCGCAGTGTATGAACTCAATGCAGCAGAGGTATCAAACTGCCAGAAGCTCAATTCATTTTCATCTAAGATAAACTCTGTTATTAAACACCAAGCCACCTATTATTTTTGTTCGATTTCTTTTGACCTCACATAGTTAAACAATGTTCTCCTGCATATTTCTATCGAATGTATTCATGCTTGCTGCTTTACATTACTGATGATTCCAAGTGGCTAAAAAGGTTAATATCAAATGTGATGAAGGTATCTATTATTGTCCTCTTGTCAACTGGAATGCAAATGTAATTTTGCTGAAATGTGGTGATTTATATTTTAAGCTAAAAGCCCACAGTTATCATTATATACGCATTTGCACTTTTCCTGCAATAACAAATACTACTTTAGACACGACTCCTAATGTAATACAAAGAAGAGAAGAAAATTAACAATTGCGCTATCTGCGTTACAGACAGAGTTTATTTAGGCCCCTCATCCTGAAGGGCATGTTCGCCTCAAATAATGTTCAGTGAGCAAGATCTCCAAAAATGCAAATATATGCTCCTTGCACAGAAAATAAGTAAAATGTCACTCCTCCGTGACGGGATTAAACCAAGGAGATAAACGAGAAAAACCAAAGGGATTTCCTACACACAGGCTTAAGGTGGACATAGAAATAATACTTTAGGACTAACATTTCAGCCAATATTTAGACAACTATCTTAGGACTAAATTATAAATATCTGGAAGCTTTAATCCTTATGCAAGCTAAATGCTGACATTTCTCAATCAGAGAACTATCAGATGTCAATCCAGAAATGTATTCATGTAGTTTGCCATTAACAAACTGGAGCAGCGCTATATCATCTGTTCTATATCATCTAGCAGTGCAAGCCTGCAGAATTTAAAAGTGGTACTGGATTTCGAAGAATGTTGAAAAATGATTTAAGAATTGTATTTTAGCATACACTTGTTTAAAAATTTCACCTAAATTCCAAGTCTATGTTTTTATTTTTGGACTGCTATAGAAATAAGATTTTTTATTTATTCATTTATTTATTTATTTTTCATACAAGACCTTGATGGAGCCCCTCAATTCGTCCACTATATGAACCATTTTAAGTCCCTTCCTCTTTCCTTTTATTCAGGCTTCTTGTGATTGGTTGCCAAAAAATAGATTTTCAGGACTTTGTAATATAAGATACTACACTATTGTGAGTAAGTACGTATAAAAGAACAGCAGGTCTCCTTTAATGATGAATCTTACTGCCTTTCAGGATTTTGCCTGATGAAGTGTAACATATGAGAAATGTGACCAAATATCACCAAAATGACTAAAATTAAAAACATCACATTATATAAGAATGACAATTCTTTTTTTCCCTGCTATTTCTGCAGCTTTAACAGTGTTGCACTCAAAAAAATGCCCCCATATGCTCTCAATCAGTTACTATGGGCTAGTACAAGGGAAATCTGTGGTGTCTCTGTGTGCATGCGCATGGAGAGCAGGATTTTGTAGCGCTAAGTACTTTAATGTACTTTTCTTTTCAGTCACAAAGGCGCAGCCTCAACTCAAACTGGCATGCAGCCAGCTGAGGAGTCAGTGTGGTGGACTAAGCTTTAATCTAGCTGCTGGCTGCATTTGTGAGGAAATACTTGGGAGTAAGACTGAAGGGAGCTCTACTGCATCCAGACACCAAACTTCCTTCATATGTCCTTTTGCCGCATTTCACACGTCATAAACTCCAAACATTTAGCAGCCGCCCATTTCCGCACGCACTAAAAATGTGAAGGGTTGCTTAATATGAAATGTGAATATCCTGACAAATGACAAATGTCACTGATCTGGCTATGCCTATTTACCTTTGGAGGCAAGATTCTTTTTTTGTATGAGCAATTACAAAAAACTGATATAACAAATTTTATGTACGTGGAGATTTTCTAAAGTGGTTGCTGGGTAAATCTGTAAACCTTTTTCTATCCATATGAGGCCATTGTTTAGAAACTGTTTAGAAATTGTCCATCTAATTCAAATTTATACTTTAGTCAAAAAACAAAACATGTAGAAGGCAGTGACTGAGAAAACCTCAGAATCTTTCATCTGTCAAGCGGACGTGTTAACCAGTGTCTTGTATCAGTGTTCTTTTAAAATATGAGGACATGCAACAATGAACAGAACACATCAGATTTACAAGGCAAGAACACAGGGACATTACACTTACCTTTACTCGTCCTACAAACAAGTTAGCTTCTTCTTCTCGCACAGAAAAATTTGAAGGTATGGTGAGATCAAACTTCGGGTCATTATCATTGACATCAGTAACAACTATGTTCACAGTAGTTGTGGTTGTCTAAAGGAAAAACAGTCAAACAGAGAGCACAATAAAACTAATGTTATTCCCTTCACATTGAGTGTTCCCTTCATAAACAAAGATGACAAGCACAACTAAAAAGGCATTAAATGTGATACAATGTAATTTGAGTAAATACACTTTGACATGAATAATTCATAGGGTGACTGTTAAAAGCTGTGTCATGCTCAAGTAGACATTTTAAAAAGGATTAGGATTATAATCAGACAACTTTTTTGGAGACCTGACGATTAAAAATAATAATTATAGTTGGAAATACTTTCAAAATACATTTTGTTGTAGGTAAATAGAACCATTTAGCATTTATGAGTGGAACCATGAGCTCTCATTTAGATAAAAATTTAATACTTTGTACAATTCTAACAAGCTTATAATTATTTATGTATGTGTTTGGAATCAGCCACCTTTATTTTTCAGCATAGCCTGAAATCCCTTAACCAAGCTGTCTTGTCACTTAAAAAAAACAAAACAAACAAAAAAGCAAACACAGTATCCAGGAATAGTTCTCCAAGCTTCTTAAAGGACAGTCAAAGTTCTTCTTTAAATGTTGGCTAACTAAATACTGATTTTACCCAAAAATTTCAAATTTGGATGAATTACTCCGTAGGAACTCTTATCATTGATTTTCAGTCCAGCTCTTAAGTAATTTGGTATACCTCAGCCTTTTCTTCTTTATTCCCCTTCCTGAAGGATGGCTTCTTGCTACCCAGACAATTTCTGACTAAAAATTTCAGCTAAAAACGATGGGAACAAAGAGCCTAAAGACACCATTTAAAATTCTCAGTTTTATGCTTGAAAGAGTCATAGGTCAATGGGAAGTTGCCCAAAAAACAAAACAAAAAGAAAAACATTCCTCTGAAAGTGACCAGGTAAGAAAAAGTTTGAATGACCTTTAGAAAGCCTGGAAAATTATTTTACCCTTTTTTTTTAAAAAAAAATTACAAGAAAGTCTGGTCCTTGGAAGCCAAATGTCAAGAAATGAGAGGTGGTTCAAGACTTTTGCACAGTACTGTATGTTTCAGAAGCAGCTAAAATAAAATCACTTTCAACCAAGTCCAGCAAAAACATTAATTCACTCAGAAAATGATTCCTAGTGTAGGGGAAATGTTAAAAGCCAACCATAAAAAATTATTCTGCATAAAAAGCACAATCATTTGGAACAACTACAGTAAATTTAAGTGTTTCAAAATGTCAACTTTTGGTCAAACTATTATAATGCTTTGTAGCTGTGACAAAGAAACTCACATGCACCAAGTAAATGTAATGGAATTTTAAAAATATTCTATTATATAAATGCCTTTAAACACTTTGGGTGCATACTGTATATGCATACTGATAACGGGATTCTCAGTAATATTCAGTAACGTAAAGGCAGTCACACACACCAGCTTTCCATACTGTAAGTGATGAGGGACCATAATTAAACTCAGTACACCATTGTGTGCAAATGCACATAAGCAACTTGTCTGTATACAACACATAGAGAACTTCTTCATTCCTTCTTGGGAAAGATGCACTGTTAGTAGTTATTAAGAGAAAATTGTACAAGGTTGGAAGCTAAAAGCATGAAACTAGATCCATCACATCTTTCTTCCTCACTCATTTACAAGGCCAGTGTGGGCCACTGTGCTGCTGTTAACCTTCAAACAATGACACAGCACACACACCTTTAGCACTTCTATAAATCAACATAGAAAATTGGCTGGATATGCACAATCTATAATCTCTCAGTGCCCTGGGAGGAGCATGTATGCAAATAATGGTGTAAATGGTCTCCTTGGGGGGGAAGAAAGATAGGAAGGCTGTGGGAGGAGTTGGGCCTTGCAAAAGAAAAACTTCCAGGGAGACAGCTGTTTGGAGCTGCCCCGGCAGATGAGACATTCAGCGGCACATTTCACAAAGAAAATGACCTACTTAATGTCACCTTCATCTCACCGTCCTTTAGGAAAACCTCCACCATTGTTGTTTCTTTGTACTACCTTCTGAGACATACATAATCGGCCTTTTCATGGAATTTCACACTGCAACTTATCACAAAAACCTGCCTCTGTTGCTATATCACTACTGAAAGTAGGAAGTTAAAGGAGGCAGTGTTTTGATAAGCTGTGCGTAGTTTTCATTTTGCAGAAGACCTGAAGCCAATTAGTGTCTTCATCCTGGCGTGGGTGTCCTTATCAAAGCCAAAATCCCCAACCACCATGGACACAAGTATGATTAATGAGCAGCTATTATAGATGAAGCTCTGTGATGCCTCGTGTATGTCCTCATAGTCTAAAAGATCCAGAGGTGGGTGATGTTCCTTTTTTTGTTTTTTTAAATGACCATCCAAGCCAAAAGCCATTGGACTGATATAATAAGCTTGTTAGGAGTCATGTACTCTTTCCTATGCTCTTCCCAGCATACCGTTTTTTGGGACACATGTCTGTCTGGCAGTGTTTGATCTAAGCCTGTCCAGTCGAGATCACTTTTAAATTTACTACAAAGATGGGCCCAATTTTTTTTCATCCACGAGTACAAGAAAGAGTTAATACCGTGAAGGAAAATGCGTGCGTGCATGTGTGTGTCCGGATTTGACTGCACTCAAAGGGAAGTAGCACCAGGGGGAAGTTGGCTTGCTAGCTCCTTGTGGCAGGTTTCCATGGATACCAAAGTTCTGGACTAATTACACATCCAAATCCCTGGTGTCCCCATCCTTTTCTCTATCGCTCTCCATCTCTTTTCTGTCCCCCTCCTCCTGTGCTTATTTTGATCCTTTCCTGTATCCAGCTGTCTAGGCAGCACTCTCTTGCACTGAATGACTTCCTCGCCTCTATTCTCCTACAAACCTTTACCCAGTCTTCCTCACTCAACTTTCTTCCTGTTGTGACAACATTTCTTCTAAGTTGTGACATTTAGCCCACACAAGTCAGCCAACAATTTACTGTGTTTTCCCCCACACACATAAACACACACAATTTATAGGTAAAGGGTGTTGGCTTGTACAAACTGTCCATCAGTAGGTAGGACAAAGAGCATCACCTTATGGTTACCTCATTCTGAGAGGTGAAACCTCATCTTACATGCTCTTTATTTATTTGCTCTTTCCTCTCCGACCCCACCACTGTCCATCTGCCCCTCCCTCTCTAACTGCTGCACTATGTTCTCCCTTTGCACTGCTCTCACAATTACTGGGACACACTACAAATTCTTCGTCATGTATTACTCCACAACACCAACACATTATATTTGGCAGCAGATACAAATTAGCTGTAGATCTCAGTTGTCATGAGTGTGCAGGTGAGAGGGGGTGGAAATCAACATCACCCTATTGACAGCTCATCAGCTAATGTTCACGGACTATCAGACACAGCATCTTAAAAAGGAAACCACATTTCACCTCTGCCTGGAACAGATACAGCTGCAAAAAAAAAGAAAAAAAGTGCCAAGTGAGCTGAAGTGTAATTAAATTAAGACAGTTTATGTGATTATCTGCTCTTCATGGAAGACACAGAAGCCAGCATTCATTTTTTGTCATAATGCCTGAAGTTTTTCCAGCCAAAATGACAAAAAACAGCTCTGTGAATATAAGGACTCAACTACTTGTGATACCTCTAAATGGAAGACACTTTTTAAAAGATGCACTCAATGCTGAGAAAACTATATAATGGTGAGATCGTTGATGTTATCCGAGCTATGCTTTGGACATGTGGAAATTAGGAAGTTTACTATATGGGGGTGGTTATAATTAAAACTTTGCATAACGGGACATGTAGCAATTCCAAGCTTTTGGATGCATTTTAGAAGCTCAAAGTATGTCAGTTTCACAGTTATGTGGCAGTACTCATTTAAATATCCATCTGTCCAAGATTTTTTTTTGTGTGCTTTTCTGTCATTCTATATAAACAGACTCAGTATTACATAAGTCATGATGCTTTTATTACCACACAACCCACGTATTTCACACAAATACAGTAACTGTACAATATATGCAGAGCAATCTAAAAGGTAAAAGTAGCTGTAGGTAAAATTGATTTGATCCATTTGCACTATAAAGAGCTATGCTCGAAATGGCATTGTGTAAGCTGCATATTAGTAACAGGCAATAACGATATGCTGGTTCAGGTACTTCTGTCTTAGCATTTGGTATTTGCCATTTCTCAGTTAAAAACTAGCATTTTATTCCAGGTGAATTATTTCAGGCTTTTTAAAACACTTTTTGGCCAAAAATGTACTGCCTGGCCAACAAAGTCTTACCTATTTGCTTCAATTTAACCAAGCAAATAGGTAAAAGTCACTGGACTCCAGCGACAAAGAATGATTAATTACTACAGTGGCTGGCAACAGGTTATTTACTGTAACCCCAGCTGATGCACTGAATAGCTTCTCATTTCTTAAACAACTGATCTGTGTTCTCTGATCACGGAAAAGATGTTACTCTATTTAATGAGGGTCGAACTGTCGGCCTGCTTCAAGGAAAGGAAATAACTAAGAACATTGCTGATATTGCTAGAAGGATTATGATGAACCATCATCATTCAAGGAAGAAATGTGTTTGGGGAAAAAAGTAGAACTCACAAATATATATAAAAGAGCATTTCCACACACAATATGATGAGAACTCAACAGATTCAGACTGAACAGCTGTGTCGCCTTAAGAGAAGCACTTATCAAAAAGGGTAATCGGGGGAAAAAGCCTTCAATTTTCTAGGGAGCATAAAGATTGGACTCTGTAGCAATGGAAAAAGTCAGGTTGTCTGATGAGTCTAGATTTATTCTGTTTTAGAGTGATGGGTGCATCAGGATAGGATGACAGGTGGATAAAGTATTGCACCCATCATGCTTAGTGCCTACTATACAAGCCTGTGGGATGGTGTTCTGATCTGGGGTTGCTTCAGTTGGTCAGGTTTAGGTTTAACAACATTATGTGCCCAGAAAATGAGGTCAGCTGACTACCTGAACATTCCACCATGAGCAGGTTTTTTCCATCAATGGATTTTTTCTTGATGATGTCAGGAATCATCAGGCTCAAACTGTAAATGAGTGGCTATCTTCGCACATGGATTGTCTATCACAGAGTCCAGAACTTAATCCCACTTTGTTATATGCTAGAGAAGACTTTACTCAGCAACTCTACCAGCATCAATACAAACAAATTGTCACAACAAAGTTCTGGACAGAACTATATGTTGTGACACTGCATACGCGTACACAAACAATGCCAATGGAAATTTGTGCTGTAAGTCAAGCTAAAGGCAGACCAACATAATATTAGTGAGAGTGTTTTTTTGGCCGGTGACACTCACTCTAATTTGAATGAAGGGGAATGAGTAATAGACAGACCTGGAATCGATTTCAGATGAACACAAGTGGGGAAAAATAACCACACAGACAACTGCTACCAGAGAAGTTATTAATGAAACTCACTGTAAAAAAATAAGTGAAAAGCTCAAGCCGAGAAGCCACATTCAAACAATTCTAACTTCACTGCATGGGCTAAAATGACAGTCTGTCACAAAAATCACAGCATGATACTCTCAGAGCTCAAACACACAAGTAGATTTTACCAGAATAAGTAGCATGTGGAGTCATGAAGCCAAATGCACAAATTAATACACTTGTTTGAGAATATTTTGCTTGTGATTAATGTTTTCAAAAGGTCTGAAGACCATCAACCCTGAGGAATCAGGTCATCAGTTTAGATAGTTTAGATGTCCGTTACCCCTCCAGGGTGACCATCTGAGGCTGTGACAATCAGACGGTACTGGTCAGTTGTCTCTCTGTCCAGAGGCTTGTCCAGAAGTAGAAGGCCAATCCTGTGGAGAGGGGTCAGAGAAAAGACTTGTATTACTTTTATAAAGGAGGACACTTTGATTGTAATTTTTCCTTTACTTTCTTTTTGTGTCAGATCATTAATTTAGGGAAATATGTTGGATATATCACTTAACAACATGATGTATGTCTGCATTTCATTATTTGCATTCATTTCGAAAAATAAGGGGAAAAGAATGTGGGCAATGATCAAAAAGAATGAGTCTGGGATGAAGAGCAGGTGTGAGCTTAAATGCTCCCACTCTGTCTTTCTCTCTGTAGCCAGTCTCTTGCTCCCAAAGCACACGGACAGGCAAAGATTCATGTTTCCCTTCTAATGACTGCAGCAGACACCGAGACCCTCCTGCTCGTTCACATGGTATAATTTGGCACTCTGGCATTCCAAACACAAAGTGTGGATGCATTCCCATGCAGAGCACTGAATTATCTTTGTTTGCACACAGGCACACAAGACGTGAGTAAGTGCAGCCATACAAAAACACACAGCATGCACAAAACAATTCCAGTGCCACACTAAGGAGAGGCTCTGCCAGAACTGCAAAAAGGAAGGAAAGAGGAATGCATCTGAACGCACTATTAGATTAATGCCCGTTGCAATTCCCCGCTGTCCCCATGCTCCTTCACATTTCTAATTTAAAGCTCCTGTGGCCAAGCAGTCCAAGCAGAACCTGGCTGCTACTTTTCTACTGCCTCTGCAGCCCATAACTGTGAAACTATAGACCCTCATTTTACAATCTGACAGGCAAGTACTGACACCTCCATCAACACTGTCTATTTTTCTAAGTACTTGCCCCAAGGTTATAGTGAACACACTGCTTTGAATCCACCACACCTGATGATCGGTGGTTCAAAAGGCCAAATACAGTTTTCTAAAACCACCGTAAAAATGCAGAACAGCTTCCTTCGCTGGCTGCTGTGCTCATGTTTATTTATACAGTGGGGCAAAAAAGTATTTAGTCAGCCACCGATTGTGCAAGTTCCCCCACTTAAAATGATGACAGAGGTCAGTAATTTGCACC